GGAAAATAGCATGTGCACCTCGATTGCAGTTTGCATATGTGTATAGGACATTGATCACTGCCATGGAACAGCAGCGCTGATTTGACTTAATTTCATCAACTTTTTTTTTTACATAGAGGGTTTTTCCTTCCTATGCTGTTGCAGAAACCTGCTTAGGAAGGTGATTTGACTGTCTTCTATACTCAGCAGACTTTTTGGCTGATTATTAAAAAAAAAAAGTACAACCCCCCAAAAAAACAACCAAAAAATCACCCACCCCTCCCATCCCATTCCCTTCCATTCCTATCATCGCCCCAACCCCGCCATGTTTCTTCTTGGTATATAAAATGGGGGCATTTTAACTTCATAAGCAAAAAGGAGGGTTTATTTAGAGGGTTCTTTTAAAAAATACAGTCTTGCAGTAAGTTAAACCTTTTGGAAGAAGGAAAAAAGATATTTTAGAACAACAGTTTTATAAAGGATCTGGAGAAATCTTATAAAATTTAAAAGATCTTTTTTGTAATGACACTTTGCAGTGAATCACTAAGCCAACCTTTAAGTGGGTACATACGTGGTAATCTTTAGAACTAAACTTCATTCACTGTTTAACACAGTTCAGCGTCTTAATGGCTGTGGTGGGTTCACCCCAGCCAGCTAAGCACCACACAGCTGCTTGCCCGCTCTCCCCTCAGCTCCCCTTCTCCCCTAGCAGAAGAGGGGAGAGAAAATAGAGAGCAAAAGTGAGAAAACTCATGAGTTGAGATGAAGACAGTTGAAGTGAAGGAGAGAGGAAGAAAAAAGTGAGGCAGAGGCAGTCAGTCACCACTTCCCACAACCTGACTGATGCCCAGCCAGTCCCCTGGCAATGGCTACCCCCCCCCCAAACCTTTTCCCCCTCCCCTCCGTTTCTGTTGCTGAGGTTATACGGCATGCGATACCCCTTTGCTCGGCTTGGGTCAGTTGTCCTGGCAGGGTCCCCTGCCAGCTTCTCGCCCACCCCTGGCCTGCTTACTGGGGGCAGAGTGGGGGGAAAGAGAAAAGAGAAGGCCCTGGCGCTGTGCCGGTACTGCTCAGCAATAGCCAAAACACTGTCACAAATCCAAAACATGGCACCATGTGGGCTGCTGCAAAGAAAATTAACTCCATCCCAGCCTGACCTAGTGTGATGGCATATATTTGCTGATACAGGTGTATTTCAGGACTTGAGGCCATTGGTTCACAGGTAGTGTCATTAGTATTATTTATAAAATAGTCTTAATGTAAAACTAGATGTCACTTTAGCAGGTTTTTCCTTACTTTAGACCAGAAGTTAATTATGTTTTTCATATACCTTAGATTACCTCAATTTGCTCTAAGCTATGAGTGACTGCAGTGCCTACATACCAAAAGTATATATAGTCTATTAACTTTGTTTACAGCTGATTCTGTTCTACATTAATAATACCAGTATTCCCCTCCCTCCCACTGCTGGGATACTTGAGTTGGAGCTTTTAAGCTGTGTCTAATCTAATTTTCAATATTGTGTACCTTTTTCCCCTCTCTTATTCGGTCTGCTCCTTTGCTTGTTGTCATACAAATGCAGTGGCAGACCACTAAGGCTGCCTCCTCTGTAGCCACCTATGTCAAAACGGAGAACCACAGCAGTTGTGGCAGAAATGGCAATTCTTAATCTTAATTGTGTTCAGGGGCTTAATCCAGCATTAAAAATGCCCTTCAGTTTTCCCTATGTAGGCATATACCTAGTTAAAGAATTTACTGGCATTTAGTTGTATTGTGGCTGGCCTCTGATCCTTTTCAGGAAAGGGGTTAGCATGTAATAGCCTTCTGCAAGTGTCCTCTGCCTACAGGCACCATAAGAGTAACCCTGGGGGACTGATGGGGCCAGCTTCTCAGCTATCTCCTACGCAGTAGGTGGGTGAACTGATTTGGGAAATAACAAAACCTCAGCATTTGCATAAAGGCACCTCTTTCTGTACAGTCCTTTCTTTAGCTGTTCACTAGCCACACAGTGGAAAAACTGGTACCAAACTTAACGCAACCTCAGAGCATGTGATTTTTCTTGAAGTGATCCTTACTCTGTCAAAAGGAGACTGATTTTTGCCAAAGTAATTGGGTCATGCTCGAGGAGGTCTAGTTTCTGTGATACGTTTTGTTCTTTCCTACCCTTTAAAGGTGTCTGTAAAAGATGACAAGAGTTTTATGTGGTCAGGATGTTTCCTCTTTTTTAGCTGGAAAGCCATTGTTTGTTTAAATTTGCAGGAGGGAAAACCTTTAAATTTAAAGGATGAATATATACAGGTTTTTTTTAATGCCTTCTGTCCGGACTGTGTTTGAAAACATAAAAAGGCAGTACTAGAAAACTATGAGAAATTGTGATAAATGGGGGTTTTCTTACTCTAAAGATTTTTGCTGCCTATTTTCTTGGAGGTCTGAGTGCTTAGAAATGAAAACCTGTTTATAACTTTAACTGGTGTGGTCAGTGTTGATCTTGCTATATTCTTTTGATGTATTTATAATGCCATTCACCTGTAAGCCTTTGGTTATCTCTGTGGCCTCTACTCCTGGTCTCACACTAGGTTAGCTTACAGTATTCCAGTCTGGAGGTGACAAAGGCATAGAGCATCAAATGTAGGTTCAGACTGTAAGATGTTAAAATTACAGGGAAAATATATATATATACTGACTTCTGTTTAGTATGACTTTCTTGGACTCGCCATGTGTGCCCACTGCAGGCCTGACGTCACTGAATTTGTTAGCAATAGTGAGGTGTTGTCTTAAACTCTTCTGATGCTGTTTTACTTTCTTTAGTTTGAAAAAATGTTGAAATGTTATACAATACATTTACTTTTTTTCTGTGAGGAAGATAATTTCAGATGTTTTAAACATTAAGTACAATATAGTGGTTCTTTGAGCCATATGATAGCTAGTGGTCTGAGGAATAAAATATGCTCTGTACTTGCAAATGTATGTTTCTGTTGTTCAGTACTGTAAGTTTTACATGTGTATAACTGTAAATATAAACGATTGAGTTTTGATGTCCCCATTTTGCACATTATCTTTTTCCTCCCTTCCCCCACCCTTACAGAGCAACTTTGCAGATGGCCGTTTGCAATCCCATTATAAATCAGGCTTAGTACAGAAGGGTTTATATATTCAGGCTAAGTACCAGCGGTTACGTTCTTTTGGTGTAAGGGGATTTACCACTAATAAATTCAGAGATGGATTTTTGAGGAAAGAAAAGGTAAGTTGGCTTTATTTTTCATTAAACCATTTATAAAATATGAATATTCATATGATTCCATGGGGACTTAAAAATTGGAATAGATAACTTGGATGGGATTTTCTGGAATATTGGCTCTTTGTACTTTACAGGCAAACTTGATTCTGCACTCCTGTTTCCTCCATGTTTGTTCCATGGAAACTTGGTGAAACTTGCTTTAGGTAATTGCAAATCAGAGAGCCTCAGATTCTGCAGCTACTTCTGTTTCAGTATTCTCTTCCTGAGCTCAGCTGATCTCTGTTCCTGTTGATAGGAAGAGAAAGCATCCCTCTGTGTAAAAATACTATGTCCTCTTAGGCTACAGTTTTAAATCAATGTGAAAGGTATTAATTTTTTTTTTTACTATGTCTGTGTCTCCTCTTTGTTATGTTGCCTTAAATTAATCATGTGCCCTAAAGTACATACTGGAGTACTGTTCTGAATAAAGCATCATACGCTATATAGTGTCCTTGTAAAATGGTTTTATAAGCTCAAGCTGAAAAAATTAGGCACATTTTGTTCTACAATACCTTTTGATTTGCAGCGTGTTTGGGACAATGATAATCTTGAAATGCAGAAGAACTTTTCAACCATATAAAATGTTGCAGCTTTTGTGGGCATCAGTAGTTAAGACATTCTAAATCCTTTATTAGAATTGATCAAGTATGATGAAAGTAGTATGAGGTTACTCACGACATCAGAGAATTGGATGACATGACCTATACAGTCCCTTGCAGTTCTGTGTTCTATGTGAATTCTTCTTTATTTTGTAATTCTGTGCACACCTAGCTACAAATAAATACACTTGCATAAGCATTTGTAGTTGGATTAGAGTTCAGTTCTTAGAGCACAGAAGTATAGGTTCTTAGAGCTGTTTTCAAAAAAACCTCACTTACAGCCAGGGTGAGGGGGAGGCAAAATATTAAAAAACCCACCAAAAAACCCAAACAAAAAAACCCCAAAGAAAACCAAACACTTGGATAAACAGGTCACTTGTTACTGGAGTATACTGATGAATGCCTTTTACATTTGCACATGGACTCAGAAGTATGATCTTTGAAGGCTAAATTGAATTGAAATTAGTGGAAAATAGATTGAGAAGGATTTTTTCAAAAATTATGACCTTGTAAAATGGGCATAGAACTAGAACATAATTTTGTTGCAGTGAGCTTTTCCCTAGTAATTTCCAATGCTCTTCTATAATTGGATATTAAGGTTCTTGTCTGGAACCTATAACGCACACTTAGCACAATCTGGCTGCTGGAGATTATGATTTGAATTAGAGAAGCATAATAAGATCTGAATATAGGTTTTGGCTTTTTTTTTAGGCCCAGTGAAGAACTTTGAGTGTCTTTGAGTTAAAGTAAAATAAATCCTGAAGAAGTATGACAGCCATTTTCTTAACAGCGTACCGATTGCTGGTTGGCTAAGTCTTAAAGAAAGCTGTTCCTCAGATTCTAGCATTCCCCATATTTTGCCTACTGTAATGTTTAAACTTGTCTTTGAAATTTTTTGAACTGGTCTGAACATCTTTATTTCACACTTTTGAAATAATTATGCACATGCACCCTTTAAGGTATTGTCTTTATGGCTGGGCTGTTTCAATCCATAATTGAAAGGATCTTGTATGTTACATACTATAATAATACAGTACGTAGAAAGTTGGGAGGCTTTTTTCCCACTGTTACAGCTTGACAGTAATGTTGTTTTTTTTCTCTCTGTAGGGAAATTTAAATATTGCAACAGAAACCTGAACTGAGCTGTGATCCTGAAGTTGAAACAGATAACACAGCAAAGCGAATGTCTGTTCATTTTTTGACAACTTTGTCAAGACTTAAAATAAGATAAAGGAACTAACCCTGTAACTTTCTTGATAAAAAATAACTTTATTTTTCAGTAGTGGAATACTGCAAAACTTTTTTACAGTTTTAATAATTGCTTTTAAAGTACAGTATTCGATTGAAACATTGTAGTATGTACCTTTAGTTCCTTTTGCATACCAGTCTCAAGTAAAGAAGTTGTTGAAGGGAGTCTTATTTATTGAATACTTTTTCCTCTAAGTATGATGTTACAGATGGAACTTGAGTTGTTATACCCAGAGGTTTATATGTTGAAAGATTATTGCTTATGTAATAAAAAAAAAAAGGAAAAAAAAAAGTGCCTGAATTGTTTGGTAATAGCACATTAGCTCAGGATTTTCCAAGTAATGACCTTTTAGGTTGTGCAATAGATTTTTACACCTCTGTTCAGTCATTTCTGTAAAACTGTGTTTTATATTACTTTAGTTTAATAATATACTTCAGTTTTTGATGTGTATATACATTTGTAAATTGTTAGAATGTTGGGACAACTTTCAGTATTTGATTTAAAATGAATGATAACAGGCAGGTATGTAATGTACTGTAGCGGTAGCTTATAACTGCACTGAAAGCAGGCTTGGGTTTTAGAGGATTAGTTGGTCTGTATTCAAAATTATCCTGTCTCATGTTTTGGTGTATGACATTCTTGACCAAGCCACATGTTCTCTAATCTTTTTCGTCATTAATGACTTGTTGATTTCCTGGATTCTGAAATTGGGGCCTGAAGTATTTAATTACAAGAAAAACAAAAACATTATGGTTTTATAAGCATGTCTTGTAACAAAGCTGTTCATAATTGAATCTGCCTTAAATGCAGATAGCTTGTAACTTTGTTCAAAATCCCAGTAATTCTCTGAAGTTTACTGTAGTGCAATATTGTTATGCTGTGTGCAAAACTCAAATAGTCAGACATGGTTTATAAGCAGCTATAAACAATATTGTGCTTAAGTCCTGTTTATAGCCTTTGCCTTAATATATGATAGGGTTGTATGTATGTATTACAGATTTGTTTGGACTTCTTATTGCCGGTAAATTAAAGATGCATAGCAAGTAGTTTTTGGAGATGTTCTTATTTAAGAAAAAAGTTTGTTCACCATATCCATAATGTATGCAGGCTATTGTATTTCTGTCATTTCCAAGACAGTGTTAGCCATATAGAATGCAGGCTAGTCACTGTTGTAGGTAGTAGATCAGAATTCTAATACTGAGTAGAGATATGTTCAGAGAAAAGGAAATCTGTTTTTTGGGTGGAAAGTCAGGACGTGATTTTTGCATGCTTTTTTTTGTAATGTTTTTTCACAATGCCCTCAGTAAAGAGACTATTTGAAAGTGTAGGTATGGCTCCGAACAGCTAAAATAGCGTTACTTAATCTTCAGTTCATGGGGTGTACTGCGTAGTGTTCATAGGGAATAAGCAGGCAGGAAGTGTGCCACATCCAATGATGTTGTGGTCCTTCAACAATGACACCAGATGGTTTGTTTCTAAAACCCAGGTTTTCAGTTTGAATAACAATCATTAATGATCCAACTAGTTTTTCAGGAACTTTGACATGCATATACAAAAAGGGAAGTTAAAGGAAAGAAATTCCCAGGTCAAATAGAGGCAGGCAGCTTTCTGCAGGTAAGAAAATACTTATACTGTCAGTGATGAATCTGGCAAAATCATCCTGTGTAGATTTACTGGGAGATGAAAATAAAGAATTGAAATACCAGGTTGGGTGAGTCAACCCAAAGCAAATGGGGAGTGGCTGCAGCTGAGCAGCCTGCTGGCAGGGGAGTGCTGCTTGTAGCCCTGCAGATGAGGGCGGGTTTATCCGCAAGCTGAGAAGCTGTTAGCACTGCTCCTGAATGTGCTAAAGCACTGTAAAATGCGTAAGAAGTGAAACCATATATAATACAGGACAAACTACTGAAGTGATATTGTTGTATTGAAGGGGATACTACTGTTTCTGTAAGCTTCCTGCAGTGTTCTTAAAGCCTGGAAGAGAATGTGTTGTTGAGCAAATGGGAAGAGTGGATACATGAAGATACTTCTGACATGGCAGTTTTGCTAACACTGTTTGGAAGTAATGCTGAAGTAGTCAGACTTCAGTCAGTTAATGCTGCTTTAACCAGGTTTAAAAGTGTGACTGGCTCCTCTGATTTTGTGCTTTCTTATTTTACCTGTGCATGACTAGGTATCTCTAATTTGTTTTGTACTTTAACAGTTTAGCTTTGCTTTTTTTATTTCTACAATTTATCTCTACTGTGAGCAACATGTTTATGGACTTCGGTGGTGGTGTCCTGTCCCCTTCCACGGTCCCGAGATGAATGTCATATGATGAAATGTAGTCACTGTTTCAGTTGCTTTAGCTTTTATTTAAGGTTTTGCTCAAATTACATTCTTTACCAATAACATCACTGATTTAGGATTCTGTCATGATAAAACTTCCTAGATTTTATAAAATTTATACAGAAATTGAATTCTGTGACTGGCTTAGGTGCTAGAGGCATCTACTCTGTAGTGTTATCTGGTGTGAGACATTGCTATGTAGATCTATCTTTGTGAATTACGGAGACTTGTGTCTATGTACTCATACAAATCAGCTTATTTACTTTTCTAGCACAGAAAAGTTTTGCTGTACTGGAATATAATGTTTCGTTGAGAACAATGTAATGAAGTTACTGATTGAGTTGTGAAGGCACAAGAAAAAGTATTAAGTACAAGAAAGGTCAATTTACTTGAATAATGTGGTGCCTTTTCATATTGTGACTGCATTATAGAAAACATCTGTACAAAGACTTAAGTAATATCCTGATTATTGCGTTGTTCCTAATGGGAGTATAGACTGATAACAGCCGTTAAAGTAACCGTTAAAATACGTGTGTAAGCCTCAGCCTCAGAAGGAAAATGGTGTCTCTTGTATTAAGAGAAGTCTGTCACTGCACTTGCATTGGAAGGGCAAGTTAAAAATGTGATTGTCTAAGAGCTTTCTAGCTTTGTTTTATACTTCGAAAATATAAATGTGAATTGCCTTTCTCTTGGTTGACTTGAAATGACTGTTAAATGCTCATGTTGTATTCTGAATTGTTCACATGTGAAACTGTTTTTTAATTGCTATCCAGAATGCAATGGGTTTAATATGACTAGAGTCTTCCTTATAAGTGTTTGAAATAAGAAGTTGTTGTGATGTTAGCATTTATATTGCTGATCCATAGATTGGTTAAAATCCTCATTTTAAACTTTGCAATGATTGAGTTCACAAGGCTTAACAAAATTCTGGGGCTAGTAAGAAGCAGCACATTGCAAGGCTTCCACAAGCCTGCCTTAACTCTAATAATTACTTACATGTTTAAAATCACCTTTCCTGATGGATTTAGATGGTCTTGAGACCTGGACATAACTGTCTCAACTCAGGTAACTGATAGCAGAGGACAGGAGTAAATTCAGCTGATCGCCCGTTGTGGTAACAGTTTACCTGCTGCCTTTTCTCCCAGGGCCTCGGGGTGAAATGCTGAATTTTCTTTATATGAATTTAGTCGCTTTAAAAACAAAACAAAAAACAAGATTACACTTTTGTGGCATTAAAAAAGGCAGTGTTCTCAAAACTTGCTTGTTATGCATCAGAAAGTAATTTTCTGATGTGTTTTGGAAATGGATAGTGAGAGTTACTTGGAGAAGACGATTAAAGATTATAGCAAAGAGAGACTCAATTTCTCAGTACTCACCTTAGAAGATTTTATATAGAGGGAGATCTTTAACTTCCTTGCTTTCTGAAGGGATCTTTGCCAATGCTGTATAGAAACATGCCTCTTGCCTTTCTTCAAGCATCTGAACAGCCATCTACAAAATTCTCTGAGAGATCTCTCTAAAAGACTTCAGACTTGCACCC